TATATATATATATGTATTATATATTATTATTATAATATATACACACACACACACACACACACACACACACACACACACACACGATCTGATGTACTATTTTTATATTGTTCTCTGTTTTCTCATATGAAAAGTATAATAAATAGTTAAAAATTATAACTGTAAAAAGATAACTAGAGTCTAGATACTAGTCTAGAACAGTTAAAAATTATATGTTTCATCTTTCTTATTTATAATTTATTCATTATATTTTTCTCTGATAAATTTTTTCTATATCTATTCTAATCTGTGTATCGTTGTTTTAATTAAACTACACAAAATGTTAGAGTAAATATTAAAACATATTATAACAAAACATAAATATAAAAATAAAAACAAATGTTTAATTTTGAACCAAAAATATAAACAAATATTGTAAGTGAAGATGTATAGGATGTTTAAGAAATATATAATATATATAATAACTTTTCTTAAACATCCTGAAAATTTTTATTTGCAAATATTTTGCAAATATTTTTATTTGCTAATATTTTGTAGACAAAAGAAATTTATTAAAAATTTCAAATTAACTTTTATCTTTTATATTTCAAATTAACTTTTGTCTTTTATATTTGCTATACACCTAATGTTTGATCTAATATTTTACATAGTTGAGTTGCAATTGCAATTCAGAATATTATATACAAAATTCTGAAAAAAAAAGGATAAAAAAAGGAAGTTATGAAAAAAATATATCTGATAAGAAAAAAAGTAAGAAAAACGAGCCATCTAATTTTTAACTGTTCTATAACTATTTTTTATAATCTGTAATGTGTCTAAAAAATAAATTTTAAATTTATTTAAATAAATAAAATAAAAGGATTAGATTTAAAAAGATCAAAGAACACAAAACCAAAATTAGTATTGCCTATTTATCTAGATGCATATCTCACCGTTTTATTATCACAAATGCTGAAAATACCGAAAAACTCCTTATTTTGTGTTATTGTGTCTCTTTATTCCGAAGGAATTCGGAATATTTCGGTACGGCAGAAGTTGAAA